CAGCCATATCAAATACTCCAGGTTTAAGGAAATCTGAATCAGTTTCATAGCACTGTAGGAGACAGGAATATTTGGTTAACTCATAACACTAGCTCCCACACATTTCAAATGAAAATCTTTTCTCTTGGATATTTCCAATTTTCAAATGTAATGTGCGACAATTATTTCACATTGTTTGTTTCCTCGAGGTCTGTCAGTTTACTTTTGAATGAATCATTTCTCCATGGTTTCATTGAACTGATTGCCTTGAAGCTTAAATGTGATTTAGAAGGAAAAAATTCTCTTTACAATGTGCCACAGGAACCTGGACGCCAGCTGGGAATAGTGCAGAACTGAAAATCACACCTCAATAATATATGGAAGTTCCATACTGTAAACTATATAATCTGTAAAGTATTAAATATGAATGCTTCCAGAATATAATTCACATATCTTGCACCATGTTAATAAGGCTCTCTGTGGATGATGCTATACTTAGGAGGTAAAATCTACCCCTTCAGCCCAGTGCCAGGATTTAGGGCTTCAGTAAATTGCACTCCACCCAGTTGCTACTATGCCAGGGTATGAGATAGAGAATAATGATTCCAGCTGCCCTGTACTATCAGCACAGATATGGGGGCCACTAGATCTATTGTCAGTACAGATCATATGACTTCTGAGCCCCTACCTGCCTCATCACAGACCTTTGAGATGTCCTAGGAAGGGACTATGTGGAGATGTGCAAGCAAGCCCTGTGGCAGAGTTTAAGCTGGAATGAATACCTCATGCGGGTTAGGGATGTCAAAGGTTAACCAGTTACCCATTAAGCATTAGTCTTACCAGCATGCTTCCTTGGTAACCAATTAACCGGAGGGGGTGGGATGCAGCCTCCCTCCCGCTGTAGCCTGACAGGACCCCAGCCAACCAGAGCAGTTCCCCACCTGTGGTATCACAGGACCCCAGCTGGCTGGAACAGCCCATGGTGCAGCAGAACCATGGCTGGCCAGAGCAGCCCTTCCCTTTGCCCTCCCCAGCACAGCGAGACCCCTGCTGGCTGGAGTAGCACTCCTGCCCTCAGCGCAGCGAGACCCCAGGCAGCCAGAGCAGTCCCGCTGCTTGTGGAAGGCTGTAGGAGCAGGTTGGCTGGATCTCGGTTAACTGGTTAAATGATTAAAATGATATTGTTTAACTGGTTAAATTTTAAAGGGGTATTTAGAGCCCTAATGTGGGTTCTAGTCTCCACAAGTGACTGTCACTATCAAATATGTTACTGAATTTTCAGATGCTTTAACAAATATCTTAAGATGACCTCCATATATCTTATTCTTTATCTGCTAACACCAGTGAAGCTCATTGTGTTCAACAAGGACATTACTGGGCCCTTATTTGGCACAAGTATAGTTCTTTTACTCTCCAAAACTCATTTATAAATATTACTTTATTAATCCTCCCAAAAGACCTTCAGAGAGATGGCATGTTCTAGTTCATGCTTATTACCCCTTGTTATGTGGAGTTGTTTTGATACATTAGCCTTTCACGTTTACACCATAGTATGCACTTGCCAAAGTGAATCAAACTTGAATGTGTATAGAACAAGCTGGACACTTGAATTAAGGCAAGAAAGACAAGAGACCGTTACATGGGATTCTTTTTCCATCTAAATACGATTCCAGTTAAACACCATTAATGTGACAGATTTCAGAGAGGTAGCAGTATAAGTATGTTTTAGCAAAAACAAATAGACCAATGGCACCCTATGCCATAATAAAATTGTTAGTCTCTAAGGCTATGTCTAGACTGCAGGCTTCTTTCGAAAGAGGCTCTTTCGAAAGCATCTTTCGAAAGAGCCTCTTTCGAAAGATCGCGTCTAGACTGCAGGCGGATCTTTCGAAAGAGCAATCCGCTTTTTCGAAAGAGAGCACCCAGTGAGTCTGGATGCTCTCTTTCAAGGAAGCCCTATTTACATTGAAGAACGCCTTCTTTCGAAAGAGGAACTTTCGAAAGAAGGCATTCTTCCTCGTGAAACGAGGTTTACCGACATCGAAAGAAAAGCCGCGTTCTTTCGAAATAATTTCGAAAGAACGCGGCTTGAGTCTGGACGCAGGGGAAGTTTTTTCGGGAAAAGGCTACTTTT